CTTCTATTTCTTTGCTGAAAGAAACTGTCAATGAGTCCTTGATTGATCAATATTGCATGTCTCTATCTGTTTTCATGAGAAATCACTTTGAATATATCAATATGTAATATAACTAGCATTATTAATTTCCTACCACTTTGTTTGTAACTCTGTATTGTCTGTACTGTTCTTTTGCTATTTTGTAAAATGTTGTCTGTCTGTTAATGTTTTCCTCCTTTTACTTTTAAAATTAAAAAAATAAAAAGAAATTGATTTGGCTTATGTATTTATGAGTGGTATCAAAGATTGAAATGTGTTAGTTATATATAATGAGATTTTTTAAACTAAGGCAAGAAAATATGTTTTTCTGCTTATCAAGAATCACAAGAAATAATACAGTGTTTGTTCTTAAGTGAGATGTATAAAAGTGAAAATGACATCTCACAGTGCTCTTACAGACTGATGTTAAACTTTCACATTTAACTACAAAATATCAAAGTTTTATTTTACACTAATGTACATTTGCTATTCACTCTGCCCCAACAAAAACTTGTCAATAATCTAGTCAACTCAGTCACACATAGAATCTTCTATACTCACTTCTCCACAAATATGTAAAACATTGTGAAACTTTTCCCAATTTGTCTTGATCCATTGTTACTTTGCTACTACATTATTCATAACCTTCTCTATTGCAGAAAGTTATTGCTTCACGACGTTTCCTTTGGAGATGACACCTTAGGCAATTCTTTTCTTGAATTTTGTATTTTGAAGGATTTTCATTAGTTTTTCTAACTAGACTCCATGAACACTTCTGGGTCACCTTCTCAGGAAAAATGCCATAAAATAGGCAAAAAAGAAAGATGTATAAAAATATAGCAGATAAGAAAGTGACCAGGCATTTATCAAAACATATTTGGGAACCATTTCCTTACAGATGTGGGAAAACTCACTATGCATCACACTCTAAATTAGAACCTGGCAGGGATGACAGAGTAAGCACTCCCAGTGCTCTTCAAATAGCTTCAGGTGTTCTAAGCAAAGCCTCTACTTGGAAATTATGTGCTCTTTACACTTGTCTTCTTTATTCTAAGAAATGAATAAAAGAGGAAAAAGCTTCTCAATGGAAGGAAACTTACCACTGGATTCTCCTGAACCTAAAACCATAGAGGATCAGCCTGTAGACAATAAGACAGCTGTCAGAATTTTGGGAGCTACCTGACTTTTCCTACACTTCTGGTACCACACTGTGTCAGTTGCCAAGAAAAGAATCAGAAGGCTTTCATGACTGTATAATCAGAAGAACTGCGGTTTCACTCTTTTAGAATCAAAATCACAGAGAAAAAGTGGAGATATAGAACCTTTTTCTACAATGTCATTAAGTTGATTGGAAATGTGAGAAAGATAAAATCTAGCTTTAAAGAACTGATTATTAGGTCAAGCCAAATTGTCCTGCTGGTTTGCCATGCACCAATCTACCTTTAAATCACTGAAGAAGAAGTGAGGATACAATTCTTTCATCAAGAGCTTCAGACAGTACACCACAGTAAACTACCAAAAAGAAGTTAAAAAAAAAAAACACCTTGTAAGCACTTTTAATTTCATCAGAGTTCAGGTAGAACAGTTAGGAAATGTGTGCCTCACGGAACATGTAAATACACAAATAAGTATTTCTGTGCTTTATTGTCCATTCCTCTAGTCTAGCATAAAAGCAGAATGAAATTAAGAAAGTCAAATGTCCCCTCTGAAAGGAAACATAGAGTCAAATAATCCTTAATAAAAATACAACAATTTTCCCCATCATTACAAGTTAAGGCATCGTAACATCAAATGTGAATTCAACAGAAATACCCAATATCGGGGCTGGGGATTTAGCTCAGTGGCACAGCTCCTGCCTGGCAAGCGTGAGGTCATGAGTTCAATTCCTGATACCAGGAAAACAAACAAACAAACAAAAAAGCCAGAAATGCCCAATATCATTTTTTCCCTGACAAACTCCTCCTTCCTTCAATCCGTCCTTCCAGTATTAACAGAAGTTTCCTCTCATCAGAAAATTGGATCTTCTATCATCGGGGTTGTAATGAACAGTAGAAAGAGACCAAAAAATAAAAAGTCAAATTTGCACAATGATGGAGTCACAGGAGGAAAAATAATACCAACAGCTGTAAACTTCACTGTTATAGCCTTTTAGAGTACAAAAAATGAGGAAATATCCGTACTTAGAAGCTCAACTACGTTTTCAAGTATACATTTTTACACATACATATTTTTCTTATGGGCATATAAGTGTATGTAAGCTAGAAACTTTCCATCACTTGGCATGATTTATGGCATGATCCATGCTAAGGCCAATCTTTCTCATTCTTTCCAGCAATTGACTAGAACTTTTAAGAGTCTTTCATTCTTACATCTGATAATTTGAGTAATATAGTTGAGGATAGCGATATACAATGTAACAACCAGTGTTGACTTGTATTAATTTGCCTTCAGACCCTGTATCACTTTTAATGTTCTTGCTTTGATTTGTTTATGTTCGTGATACTGGTATGCTGCTACTTTTCCATTTTTTTTCTTTGTTTCTCATGTACTACTCTCTTTAAAGGAAAAAGAAAAAGAAAAAATATAGAACTTTTAAACAGTTGTTTGAAAACAAAAATATTCACACTATTGTTATGATTTTAGTTTTACATTTCAAATTCATTTAAGAATGTCAGTCTTTTGAAAGGACACACATATACTTTCTTGAGTACTCAAGGTATTTATTTATTTTGAACCCCCCAGCCTCTTCAGATTCAAGTTTTATACCACCTCGGCCATAGGATTTCTAGAAATTTTGAGGGAATCCTAGTTTTCAATAAGCCAGTTTTCCATCCTAGAGGCTAACTTGGCACATTTTCTCATCCAGTAACTAGACTGGGCTTCTCATTCTGAGGTATAACTGCCTTCAACAAATCGAACACATAGGAGATATGCATTTTTTTATTATACAAAGAGCCCATGAGGATTTTACATACAAATAATTCAAATATGAAGCCTGAGTCACTTATTGGACCTTATGTTCAATGATACTGTAGTTTGTATAAGGATAGTGCCTGGCGCAAATGTGCATTTTCTCAAGATTGCAAAATTTTCCCTGCCCTATTTTTTTTTTTTTGGATAAAAATAGATTTCAAAAACAACTGCAAAGGAATTTGCTTCTGCAGAAATAACCTCCAGGTGAGCCATAACAGATTATTGTCCCAGCTGGAAAGCTGGCTACCATGTCTACTCTGTGTTTCTTTCTCATTGAAATTCCCTCTTGATGAAAATTAGTTTACCATATTCATCATGGTTTCAAAGAAGACTGAGTGAGGAGATGCACGGACACAATTTGAGAGGTGCCTGAGGAGGAGTAAATACTGTAAAATCAGCTCATTGTTTGTAAAGAATTTTATATTACCTTGATGAGACCATAGATTCTGAAGTCACAATTGCAAACACCTGAGTCTCTGTACATGCTGGGCAATTTTGGTGAAGTCCCCTAACTTTATCCACCTTTGTTTTCAAACCTTTAAGTTTGTGATTATAATACGCACCTTTTGTGATGGTTTTGAAGATCTCTGAAAATAATAAAAGCAAAGTACTTAACAGACAGTCCACACTGCTGCATGAAGAATACATTCTACTCTCACAGCCGATGCCTAAATCTGTACATAGTACCAAAGTCTGCCTATGAAGATTATCCAATACATAAATATCTATCACAAAATTAATGTATATATTAGCAAGAAATTCACGACAACCCATATTGAAATACATACAAAAAACATAGGAACAGGATTTAAAATAGATGAATTACTTATTTCTGGAAGGTTCACTTTTAAAAACTTTGGTCTGTGAGTCACTGTGCCTGCCTGAATCCTTGAAAAGCAAAACCATAAAAAAGCAAGACTACTAGATCCTTCACATATGTTAAACCAAGATAATTGTAATTTGTTATCATTATTTATGCCCTTCTTAATACATTACATTTTCTAATAAGAAAACAATTTCATTTTTCAGGATATTGATTTCATGCTACTCCCACTGGAAATTTATCGTGCACATGTAAGTTCAGAACTACTCTGAGACAAATGGTAGAACTGGGAAAGAGCCAATGTTCATTAAACATCAAGGGTCTAAGGTTCAAGAGCATCTTATCACAAAATTGAGTCAACCAAGGCCCAGAGACTTTTATCAGGGAATCCAGTAACCTGAGGCCAAGTCCTGAGATCATTCCAACTTATTGTCCTAGTGTGAAGAACGCTTCCCAACAGGTGTGTGAATTACTTCCATTCCCATAACTTTCCCGATAAGTGGAAATCTTCTGATAGTTAAATTCGATGCTGGGTCATGGTCTGTGTGTCATGGAAATGAATTCTAAATTTAGATTTTTAAATTTCCACTGAAGTCACTTCTCTGGTATGTGTGGACCTGGGAGTCAATTACAAACCTAGAGGTATAAATACTTGTGGATGCAAAGTCTTCATCCTATTTCCCAATGCTGATCCTGTGAGGCACCATGAAGATCTTTGTCTTCCTTGTCTTCCTGGGCACTACTGGTGAGTCTCTTTGATGGATAAATCCATAAGTTGCTATCCTGGATGCAAGCTTCTTCTTCTTTTTGAGGGAAATCACCTTGAATGTTGAATATAAGCTCTGTATTCAAGAAGCTTTTAAAGTTGAAAATACAGTATGTGAGGTCAAAGGATAATTAAATCTCCCTGGGAGGAGGAAAATTGTGTTGACCAAGAGTGGTTCAGAGTAGAGTATAAGAGTGCTGAGAATTTTTTCAACTTCAGAGCAAATCTCACAAAGTAGGAGAGAAAAAGAAACAGGGTTTGCAAAAGAAGTGATTATGTTGACATCTGCAAGAATTTGCCATTAATACTTGACTCAATAATCTTCCCCTTGAAGGACCATAAATATCCAAACACAAGGTTGAACACTCAAGATAGAGTTGGTTATCCATGGACTCTTCACAGGATGGGATGTTTCATATCTTTTAGATAAAAGTCATGTTCTACATATCATGACAACTCTGCTAATGAAATTGCTCTCCTATGAGGTCAAATTCTATCCACTGATGAAAATAAAAATAAAAAAATGACAACACCATTTTGATACAAATACACTTTATATTATTAAACTTAAAATTCTAAATTTTTGTGGAGTTAGCAAGTGCAAATTCAATCTGCATGTATATTGCCTGGAAGCATATTTTCCTAAATATATTTTACAGTAATGGAAAAACAGCATTCATATACAATTATTGCATGCTTTGGAAGCAGTTTCAAATCTTCATAAATACATGGCATCTATTGTACAATGCAGACTACTATGATAATGTCAGAGACAAAACTTGAATAATGGGAAATATTGGGGAGGGGAAACATAAAAATCTACAAAATGGTAACATGAAAGTTAGGCAGCAGAATCAAAGAAGGAAAGGAAGAGATTCAAAGTAAACCCCTCAGTTCCTTCTGGAACTGAGCACTTTTAGGTTTCTTTTATGTTTTCTTTCTATTACCTCGTGGAGAGAGCTCTGCCAGACAAATGCCTATCACACAACTCACATACACACAACAGCAAGATTGCAGGGAAGCTCTGAATTTTAATGCCTGTTAAGCAAGGTAGTATGGGAAAAGCATTTCTTATACTTGTATCATCAAGTGCCAGTGGTTACTCAGTTATTGTCTGAGAAATTTCTGATTCTTACAACTTTGTGCAGTTTGTCAGTATTTGTTGTGTGTGCATGTTTGTCAATGCACGTTGCTATGATGAATGTCAGAGAGGAAGTGTAACATATTTAGCAAACTTAAAACATAAATTCAAATCCAGATATTTATTAACAGTGATGTGAGCAAAGTATGTGTTAATGGTATAGAATAAAAAGTCTTTTAAAATACCTGAAATCCCCCAATTCTTAACTCAGTGATCCAGGAAAATATTGTCATCTCTTTTCTAGGCAGTCTGCCCAAAATTCATGGTAGTGAAATGCCATGATTTGCATCTAAACAATTTCTCCGATTTTCCCTGTCAGTTGCCCTCCCCATTGATGACGATGATGACAAGATCATTGGAGGCTACACCTGTCAGAAGAATTCCCTCCCCTACCAGGTGTCACTGAATGATGGCTCCCACAGGTGTGGGGGCTCCCTTATCACTGACCAGTGGGTAGTGTCTGCGGCTCACTGCTACAAAGCGTAAGTGATCAACATTCACACTTTTATGTATGAAATTCAAATTATCCTCCAGCCCCACCAAGCACAATCAGGATAAAGAACACAACTATACTTGATCCATAGTGCATTTAGATACTGAAAAGCCTGAGTTTTCCATGAGGAATTCTATGATGAATTGAGGGATTTTCACTCAAATTGGTAGCCTTAATGTTCTGCAACATCTGTATACAGTATGACACTAAAAACTCAGAAAAGAAAAATGCTGTGATGAAATATCCCAGGAAAACCTTGAGAATGAATGGGAATATAGTCCTAGTCACTGAAGATCAACAAGAAAAGACAACCCTGTGGATAACATAAGATTCATTATATTTTCAGCACAACATGAAACATAAGCATTAGTCTTGGTGTTCCCTTCACATTTACCTGTATCTCAGACTCTTCCTCATTATCTCTTTAAAATACAAGATCCTATCCAAAGAGAATTGGTAAATGTTGATCAATCTCCACCATTCCCATTTTCAAGATCAACTGTTTGAAAAGTGTCTTTGGGTCCCAGTTTCTAAACGTTACTATTCTAATATGATGGTGAGTTCTGAGTCTGAATGAAAACATCGTAATTAACTAGGGAATTCTCTGACCTGTAACATGCAGAGGAATGCTCAAAGCTAGTTGACATGGCAGTTACCTGAAGGAGACAATGCTTGCCAAATATGGCATTTGTTTCTGTGTTTATGATTGATGGTTGGGGTAAGGGGATACTTAGGATTTTTCAATCCTTCAATACAGTGGGGTGCGAATCCAGGTGCATCTGGGAGAACACAACATTAACATCATTGAAGGGGATGAGCAATTCATTGATGTACAGAAGATCATTATCCACCCTGAATACACATCCGAAGATACCATCATCAATGGGGAAGTCCAACTCAAGTTTAACAATGACATCATGCTACTTAAACTGAAGAACCCTGCCAGCCTCAACTCTCGAGTGTCCACTCTCTCTCTTCCCAAATCCTGTTCATCTGCTGGAACTCAGTGTCTCGTGTCTGGCTGGGGCAATACAGTGATCATTGGCAGTAAGTGGAACCTGGAAACATACAAATCTGAAAACATAGAGTGTTAGGGTCCTTTGATAATAAGCTATTCCCATTCTTCACACAAAAGAAGTTCCACCGAGATGCAAGTTGAATTTGCAACAGTTTTGAATATACAGAACTTCGAAATTTGCTATCTAAATGGATCCAAATACCTTTATGAAAACCACTCAGTAGCGGCAGCCTAAAAGAGCTATTAGGATGGCTGAGGTATTGAGCTGACGTGGGATTAGTGATGTCTAGGGCACTGCAAATGAGATGATGAGGAGAACCAAGGAGAAGCACCTTGGTGCTCCCTAGAGTGTACACCTGCTACTGCAGACATCTCTGTGCTTGAGCTATTGGCTGATGATATTAATTAGTATTGGAGAAAGAATAAGGTGTTGATTAGAATTAACCAGAAAACCTCTGAGGAATAAAAACCTTCTCTCAGAATAGGAGTCATAGGAAGCGAACTGAAAGTGTGGGGATACTGTAAGGAAGAAAAGCGACTGTGGGAAGGATGTCTGCCCCACCTGTAGTGGGGGCTCTTAATGATGCTGACTTGTAAGTTTCCATTTTCTCTCTTGCATTCAACAGATAAATACCCTTCCCTTCTCCAGTGCCTGAATGCTCCTGTCCTGTCGGATGCTGCTTGTCACAATTCCTACCCAGGCCGCATCACTAGCAACATGTTCTGCCTGGGCTTCCTGGAGGGGGGAAAGGACTCCTGCCAGGTGACCTTTGTATTCCTTCCCTATTTCTCTCGGTCTCACTCCACTCCACCATAGTTATCTTTTTTAAAAAAAAAAAAGCAGAGAAATGGAAAATTCCCCATAAGTCTTTGAGACTGACTGTGGTAGCATAGGAAATGCATTGGTAAAGTAAAAATTTGAAAACACTAATGCTCTTTATCTTATATTGACAAATATAACACATTAAGGGTTAGAAAAAAGGACTCTGAGAAGAATGGCTGCAAAAAGTACAACCTGAAAATCTCCCAAGGAGTTGCAGTGTGGGCTCCAACACTTGCAAAAGCAGTAGAGCTAACACAGTAGAATTCATTCTGTGCAGGACTCTCCTTTCTCTGGGACTCTTGACACCTTAAACACAGGAAGCATTCATAAGAAAAGAGTGAGAAGTAGACTATTACTCAGCTACCAAGAAAGATAAGCTCGAGGCTTTTATAGGTAAATTGTCACAACTAGAGACCATACTCATAAGTGAAATAAATCAGACCCTCATGTGTAAACAACGTATTGTCTCACTAGCATAAGAACCTGAAAGAGTGAATAAAAATTAGGAGGTATGATAGACATTGTAAAATGAAAGGAAACTGCTCAAAAGTAAAGAGCAACTGGGATGAGAGAAAAGAGAAAAGAAAAAGAGGAAAATTATGTATAAATGTATACACAGGATAGCTAACATAGTTGTACTACTGACTTCTGTTCCTTATTGAAAGAATAGTTAATGATTAATTATTTAATCAATCTTACATGCCTATATTTGTTTTCCTGAGTAACCACTTTGAAGATATCAACGTGTAATGCAACAACCATTGTTAATTTCCTATCACCTTGTCTGAAAATCGGTATTGCTGGTATTGTTTTTGTGATATTTTGTAAATGTATGTGTTTGTTAATATGTTTTCATTCTTTTATTCTATAATTAAAAAAAAATAAAGAAGTAGAGTTCCACAACAGGATGATTAAGGTTTCATTCCAAGGATAGGAAAGGTTCTTGATGGAGACCAACCATCTTCAAAATGGCCCAAGGGCAATGGAAACACAACCAGAAGACTATTCTCCCATATGGGCATCAACATGAGCACTAACTGTGCTGTTCTTTTACCAGGGTGACTCTGGGGGACCTGTGGTCTGCAATGGAGAGCTCCAGGGTGTGGTCTCCTGGGGCATGGGCTGTGCTCTGAAAGGTAAACCTGGTGTCTACACCAAGGTGTGCAACTACCTGGACTGGATTCAGGAGACCATTGCTGCCAACTGAATACTTTGGTGCTTTATGATCCCTCCCCTATTTGTCAAATTTACCTTCCTCTCTGCCTGAAGTCTTTTCCTAAATAAAACACGTTCTGTGCATCACATCTGATCGAGAATGATTCTTATTTCTTAATCATGAGCATTCCCTTGAAAATTGGTTCTCAATGAGAAAGTAGGAAATTGAACTGACTTACTGAGAGAAATTGAAATGCTGTTATTGTCGTTTACCCAACCTAATGAACATAATCTTAGTGATCACCTACTGTAGACTCTGAGACACAGAGGACATCAATGAGAAAAACAATGAGAAAAACATTTTGCAATAGTGATTGCAAAATCACTAATAGATTCTCAAACAGTATATCAGATCATTTTTGTATGATTCAAGAATAGAACAGCTTTCACTCTTTTTGTAGTAGAACATAGAGTTATAACTCATACCAATAATGACACTAATGTGCACAATTCAAACCAGTTACCTAAACATCATTCATACAGATTGCCATAAATCTAGGTTGAATGTCAAGCTGACCTAATCCACACCACACTGCTTCTCCTGTGACAGAATGTTCTCTATTCCCTTTGTTCATCAGTCTTCTGAAGGTCTGTTGTGGTATGTTGGAGCAAAATGTAGGATTAGAAATTGTTTAACAGATCAGAATTTTCCTACTTTTCCCAAGGTTTTACCTATATATAATTTTCATCATTTCACAATTTCTTCTGCCCAGTTGAAATACTATTTTCATCCCAGACAAGGACTCTGGGGACAATCTTCACCCTTCTCCAGGTACCCAATCCCAGCCTAAGTTAGGTAATCATTTAAATAGGAGCCCATCCCAAAAATCCAAATGGAAATTAATTTCCACCATGTTTGAAAACTGTGTTTTATTGTTAATTTTATTTTTTTCTCTTTGAAATAAAAAATAAACCATATAATAAAGGCAAGAGATATATCACCCTAGAGCACTAATAATTAGGTCTTGGCTCCAAATACTTTATCTGTACTTTTTGGCATTTCTGGGACTGTGCTCAACACACTGTTGTTTTCACCACATCCACCCCACATCGTCACTGCCCTACACATCTTCCAGAATCTGATTTGTAGAAAGCCTTATCCATGATCACTGTGTATATCTTGTACAAACACAAAAAGACCAATAATAGCCTCTGAGCATAGACACTTTGGAATAACTAGAGCAGGTTAGAAAGGGACATATGCAGCCTCAGGGATGAAATGAAAGGATGCTGTCTCACTTAGTTCATACTACTGTAACAGAAATGCCATAGACTCAGTGGTCTCCACAACACACATTTATTACCTATAGATCTCTGGAAGATGCCACAGTCAAGATGGAGGCTCCAGCAGGCTACATGTGTATAGGGCCACCGTCCTGGTGCTGATGTACCCCATGACTCGTATCATTGTATATAACTTCTCCAGGAAAGCTAGCTCTAGTTTCTTTCTCTTCTTAAAGGAAGATCCTGTCCTAGGGGTGCAGCACTATCATTTTGGTATCTAATGACCTTCCTTAAATTCCTGTTCCCAGTAATATTTCATCCAATATTAAGGTGTTAATTTGTGAATGGCAAGCACACACAAATATGCAGTCCAAAAATGGTAGAGAGAAGAGATCATAAGAAATCTATGCACTCACCACCAACTTCCTCATTAGGAAGCTCTGGGAGACATAGAAGAAAGAACCTATGAGGACCTAAGATTCCTTTATCACCCCCTTTATGGTGAAGCCAAAGGTCCTTACCTAAACATTCAAAGATTTCAATGTTTATGCCATCAGTTTCTGTCTTGTTTCCTAATAAAATCGACTTTCTACGTGTGTTAGTGTGTATGTTTTCTGTGTTTAGATAAGACGGGTCACAATAAACACCACAAAATGTATCAGGATTTCCTCAAGAAACCAATGAGTTTAAGATTTCCACCTCTATCCTGAACTATTTCTTTTATACTTTACCCCAACCCCAACACCACTCCACAATTAGATCACTGCAAAATGAAATTTCAGAGATCACAAGTCAGACTGATGACAATTGCGAAATTAGGGCAGGTCCACAAGAGAACAATGAAAGAGGAAATAATCCATTTGCATTTAATGTTGTCTTACAACCTCTTTTCACGATACCTGCCAGTCATTTTCAGTCTTTTCCCTGTTTCATTCTCCTCCTAGAAAAATAACTCATCAAATTGTATAAGTAGCTTTAGAGTGGAAATTGTTTTTGCTCATTTTCATAGTAATCTAAGCCTTAGAAATTTATCTTTCTAAAATAAGCACTCAAAAACAAAGAGAAGGTGCAGAAACATGAAGACATCCTGTCTCAAGTATATGTACTCCATACGGTCTTTAAAATGCACAGGTGGGAGCCTTGCATGTTTTGAAGGATGGTGTGATTCACTACGGTGCCCTCCACCTCTTTCTCTCCCCTCTGCTCTCACTATACACAGCCTTAACAAAAACAGCAGTACTTGGGATGGTAAAATAGATGGGATGGTAAAATAGATCTGAGAAATAAGCTATCTTGTTTCTTCCAGTGTAGAGGGGAGAAATAAATTTATCTCCAGAACATTTATTGGAAATCTACCACTCCAAGAGCACTAGCAGAAAACATATTAGTGTCTCTTTATCAGAATGTCATCAGTTCCACACACTAGAGGGGGAGTGAAATGGAATTAGGTTGACTGGGCTATATTTCAATTGCATGGCCCACCAACAGAGCAAGAAGTGGATGCTGTGCTCTGCAATAAATATGACCTACTTGGTAGTGTCTTCCCTGATTACCATGGGGAACTGTTTCAGAAAATCTCCAACTATTCAAGTAGTTTGTATACATTAGAATGCTATTTGTATATGTTCTCTGTGTAGCCTCCTATGAACGCTAAATAATAGCTAGACTACATATGGTACTAAACTATCTAAATAGTTGTACTACATGGTTTTTATGCAACAATGGGTGTGAATATAAATCTGATGTTTGCTACACAGGCACTTATTTTTGATATCTGATATGAAGGTGGTTGGATTGCAAATGGCAGAACCTTTTGGATAAGGAAAGGGTGACACAGTAGCAAAAAGGATGACAAGGGGTAAATAGTAAAATGCAGGAAAAAGCAGGGTATGGTGGAAAACACCTGCAATCCCAGCATTCTCTAAGGCTACAACAGAGGACTGCAAGTTTCAGCCCAGAGTGGGTGACTTACTCAAGCTGTATCTCAAAATAAAAAAAATCTAAAAAATCTTAGGATGTAGCTCAGTGTGAAGACCTGGATTTAATCCTTGTTACTGAAAAAAAAAATCAAAAACCCAGAATAACAGAGAGAAATCCCATCTGAGTATCTGAGTTTTTTTCTTATTGTTTTGTCTCCATGCCTAGAAATATTACAAACAAATCAAACGAGCTTTAATACAAGATTATATAAATCTATATACCATGGCCTGGAGAGAAAATGTAGGAATGGATAGTATTCCAGTGCCAGATTGACAGGCAAGATTCTATTCCTTTAAGCTATATCTTACCACAAAATTACTATGGGTCTATGATAGTCCAGGTTCTAATTTACACAATAGTGATACAATAGTGAAACAAACAATGGAGGCCCTACCTTCACAGTGTATCCTCCAGTTGGCAAATACACAAAAAATAAAAAGAATAGACTGCTGATCACGGCTCATGCTGAGGCAAATCTGCCTGGATGAAGGCTTAACTCATTGGGATGCATCGATCTACTGTTAAAATATAAGACAAAATATGAATGATCAATCAAAACCTAATGTAGGTTAAAATTAAAAAGCAGAAAAGAGTCTGAGAAGAGCAGTAAAATGGGTTTAATTTGAACAAATCCTTAATTCATGGTACAATGAGATGTGAGATATGCTATGTTTGTACCAAACACAAGAAACTTTACATTGGTAATGTCGGTGGAATCAAATGTCCAGGCTGCCCACTGCTTGAAGACTTCAAACATCAGCTGAGAGTTTTGGCAGGAAGGAAGTGGGTTTATTCATGGCTGGCCTGAAGAAGATGGAGAGGTCAGCTCCTCAAAGCTCTGTCATAGGGGCAATCAAAGGCACCAAGGACTTTTGCTGGGAGGGGAAGGAGGAGAAGGGCAGGATGTCAACACAGGTGTTTGGTCTCCATCATCTAGGGATGGATGTTCTTTCCTCTACATGGATGTGAGCATAACGAAAGATTTTGAACTGACATGGAGAGTTACTAAGGAACATTGTTACTTACATTAGGAAATGTTCTAGGCTCTGTGGGTCTAAAAAATGTGGTTATAATATCTCAACCATACATATTGTTTCTCTTCAGATGAAGGATGATAGAGGGATAGAAGAGCAAAAGAGAAAAGAAACAAGGGACAATTTCAATGAAGTCCCTGTTGTATCTGCCCCCTGATGTGTGCTCATTCCACTATCTGTTGGGTCGGAGGTGGCCACCGTTCCAGCTTCTTCCCACTGAATGTGGAAACAGATCAGACTTAAAGGAAAAAAAAAAACTATTCAGGACTCATTGTATTTGCAAGTTCTCTGATGGCTAGGGAATCTAGTACCAAAGAAGGCACAGAACTTGTTCTTTACAAAATGGTCAAAGACTGAAATTAAAAAAAAAAAAAAGAACTCCAAGGTTTTAAGCCAAAAATTAGAGATACAATTCTAAACTATAAAACACAGCTGATGCCATATTGTTTCTGTCAAACTTTTCCTCTTGTACTTGCATGATTTTGTCTGAAGACATCACAGGTCATTCACTCTGTGCTTTGGTTTTGAGTTTCTCCATTTGCTGGGCTGCCCTGTCCTGGTTGTTTTTCTTATCTGATTCACATTGAAGGTGTTGTGATACATGACTAGGAGCTGCATCTAAACAACTTTGGCCCCATATGAGCAACAAAGATTTATTACAAGGAGTAAATGTTAGGCTATGTTGACTTGGAATCAGTCACTAAGTTTTGCTCTGCCTGCTCTATATGTGATTTCTAGCATCTCACAATGCTAG